ATATATATATATATATATTAGCTTCAGTTTTTCATAAAAGCATCACAAACAACAGACAGGTGTGGGCCAGATCTGGTGTCAAGCTGCCACTGCTGGCTGACTGCTGCCATGGTGAGTGCTTTGTCACCTGGATTTGTGCCAGATCTGGCAACAATGGCACTGTTTTATGATGGCATGCCATGAACTGGCCTGGCTGTGCTTTGGTTTATGTGGCCCAAAACTGTCAATGCCACAACTCGCCCAGTAGCACTTTGGTTTTTGTGGTTCAAATCTGTCAATGCCAATAATGGCCCATTTGTGGTTTGGTTTATGTGACCTAAATCTGTCAATGCCAGAACTGGCCCAGTAGTACATTGGTTTATGTGGCCCAAATCTGTCAATGCCAGAACTGGTCCAGTAGTACTTTGGTTTTTGTGGCCCAAATGTGTCAATACGAGAGGTGGCCCGGCAGTGATTTTGTTCATGTGGCCCNTCAATGCCAGAACTGGTCCAGTAGTACTTTGGTTTTTGTGGCCCAAATGTGTCAATACGAGAGGTGGCCCGGCAGTGATTTTGTTCATGTGGCCCAAATCTATCAATGCCAGAACTGGTCCAGTAGTACTTTGGTTTATGTGGCCCAAATCTGTCAATGCCAATAGTGGCCCATTTGTGGTTTGGTTTATGTGGCCCAAATCTGTCAATGGCACAACTGGCCCAGTTGTGGTTTGGTTTATGTGGCCCAAATCTGTCAATGCCACAATTGGCTCAGTAGCACTTTGGTTTGTGTGGTCCATATCTGTCAATGCCAGTTTGGTTTATGTGGCCCAAATGTGTCAAAGCCACAACTGGCCCAGTACTGTTTTGGTTTATGTGGCCCAAATCTGTCAATGTCACAACTCACCCAGTGGCACTTTGATTTGTGTGGCCTAAATCCGTCAATGTCACTTTGGTTTATGTCGTCCAAATGTGTCAATGCCAGAACTGGCCATTGGCAAACCACATCTGGGCCTCCAAAAGGCTATTGTTTTTGTGGTATTAAAGAGTGGAACTGGACCAAGTGTTAGAGAAAGAATGATGGCCCTTTGGTGGCCCAGATGTGGTTTGCCAGAGGTGGTCCATGCATGGGCCAGCACCACATAAACCAAACCACCACTGGGTCAGTTGTGGTATGCCATCCTAAAAACAGTGCCAGACCTGGCCTCCATCTGGTTGACAAACCCTTGCCATGCCATCAGTTCCAGTTTGACCAGGTCTGGCCCACACCTGTCTGCTGTGTGGGACATGTATCTATGTAACCCCCTGACTTACCACTCCCTCTGGGTCGACCAGCAGCAGGTGTTTGGGCTGGCCCCCCTGCTGTCCCGTGAGGACGTACTGTCCGGGGGTGGTCCCAGACTCCCGCACCAGGAAGTCTCCGTCCCGGGTCAGCAGCCTCTCTGCCTCTTTACGACTCAAACTGCCGTGGAACCAGATCTCGTTCTGCAGCTGCTGCACCATGGCCACGGCGCTCTGCCCACTGTGCCCACACACACCCAGGGCGTCATCGAGCGGCTCTGGTAAAACAAACAAACAAACAAACAAAACAAACAAACAAACAAACAAACAAACAAATAAACAAACAAACAAACACAAAGTGAATTCTGCTGAACTGGAGGGAAAAATAGATCTATAAGTATTATTTGCATTTTATTTGTATAAAAGAACAGAAGTTGGCTTCGAACCATGGGACAGATGTTGTGTATCGATTGTGTCTTTAATGGGAAACACGAAGCAGTGGAACCAATAATGTTTTCCAAAATGCACTTGTAATGGACAAACACTTATTTCTTTATCTGCCTCCAAGCCTTTCCTCTAGAGAAAATCTTCAATTTGAATCAGTCTCAAGGAAAATCCAAGTCCACACCCCTGTGTTCATCTAACGATCAACCTTTATTTTTCCACATCATGAAACTGCAGCATCATTTCTGTTGTCTTCATTCATCATCAACATCAGTTTGATTCATGAAGAGCAGCGTTTAGGATGAGAACACACACAGATACGCACTCATGTCAAAAGCATCTTTGTGAGCGTTTCCATTGGCTGCAGCCGGGAGGCGTGGCTTATCCACGTTGACGTATGAGGGGTCGTCGAACAGCTCCCGAGCCCCTTCTTTGGCACCCACTGAAGCAAAGACAGGAAGAGTGTTAGCAACCTGAGCTCAGCTTTTTCTTTTTCAAGGTTCCTGCAGCAAAAGGAAAGGTAAATTTAAGACTTTTTAATGCCTCTTGAAATGAAATTTAAGAGAAACTTCACAATTAACACAACCCTTCCTGTTGCGCCGCAGAATGGCAGCACTGATGAGAGCTTCTCTTAGACTCGCATTTTTTAAAAATTTCTTATAACTTCTTTTTAAACTTTTTTCACTTGAAATTAGGGGTGTAAGAAAATATCGATACAGTGAAATATCGCGATATTTCATTTCCCGATACTGTATCGATATTTTATTAAGGTTTAAAATGTCAACTTTCCTGCCATCCGTTCATTTTTATGTTGTAGTTCAGCCTCTGACCACTCGTTGGCAGCAGTGAGCCAGCCATTTGGCTCCTCTACCTCTTGAGCACCAGAGAGTAAGAGAGCATTAGCATTGTAAGTAAACATTAGCTTTTCTTTTTTTTTTTTCCAGTAAGAGGTTTTTATTTAATAGAATTTTTGGACAAAAAAAAATCGCAATATATTGCAATAAATTGCCTTGCTTACAGTATGGCAATATATCAGGATATATCGTATCGTGACCCCTCTGTTATGATATGTATCTTATCGCCAAATTCTTGCCAATACACAGCCCTACTTGTAATGCACACCCACGCTATGAGTATGACACACTTTTGGAGTTGCAGCTGCCAGAATATGAGGATTTTAAGGCAGTTTTTGAAGACTCTGCAGCAGACATTCTCTCCTGGGTTCCTAAATTTTTGTTTGTTTACTTTTTGTGCATCTACTGCCAACTGAAGTTTTTATTCTGTATTGTCTTTATTTTTATTCTTTATGGCGAGTCGAACTGTTTCTTCTCATCCTAAGAACTCCATTGCATTGTTGACTCGTGTTAACCTGCATATGACAATAAATGAATCCATCCAAATGTATTTTAACACAGAACAACTAGCTGTTTCCAATTACTTTAATATTTGAGACAAATTACAATCATCCTACTTCAAAGGACCAGAGCCTGTTGTAGGTACCTCAACAACAGTCTGTAGGACTGCCCTACAGGCCTGGATTAGACATCAACACTCAATCCTCTGGAGGGAGCTGACGGATTGTAGACAGGCACGAGAACCAATAAACTGTCCAAATCTAAGGTTTGGGAAAGCTCTCATCTCCCTGTCAAAGAAAACTCTAAGTACACTGGTTGGAGTCCTAACTGGACACAATCTGCTCAACCTCCACAAAATGCTGATAAGACTTCATGACAATGGTCTGTGTGATGCCTGTGGCATTGAACTACAGACCTCTTTGCACTACTTAGACCACTGCCTGGCTCTGAGTGGTCAAAGGAAGATAATTCTTGAGGACCCCTTTATGGACCCTGAGAAGCTCAGAACACTGAGTGTTTCTAACCTGGTGTCCTTCATCTGAGGAATGAGAAGGTTTAAATAAAGACCAGAGTCTTTTTGGGGATAGCAATGGACCCACTTAGGAGACCTCCACTCATGTGGATTCTTTATCTCTCCCCACCAACCATAACCATACAATGTGTTAACATTAAGACCTCTGAAATAACAATTTAAGACATTTTAAGGCTAATTAAGGCCTTAATTTTGAATTGATGAATTCAATGCCTTTTAAGACTTTTTAAGGCTCTGCAGGAACCCTGTTTTTGGTGCATAATAACTTAGCTTCCCAGTGAAAACACGACAGAGCGAGAGAAAATATGGAAAAGAGGACCTATGACTTTGAAACATCCTCTTATTTCTGACAATGGGACCAACATACAGTAAATGATCATTTTTCAAACACAGAAAGAGCTGAAGCTCCGTAGAGCTACAGAGAGGCTCACCTGGTAGAGGAGGCAAAGGGTGCTTGTGAATGTCGCTCTGACCTGGCTGTCCATAGGGCTACAAACAAACAAACAAACAAACAAACAAACAAGTCACTACAAGATGTCGTTACCCTCTAACAACTTCTCTCTAATTGCTCGTTAGTGTTGTGTTTGAATTGACAGCAGATCTGAGCTTTAATAGGCTCAAAATAAATACGGTATAAAAACAGTTTGTCGTCTCTTTTCTAGATTTTATTTGAAAGCAGTGAACCGTGTCTGGAAACAGACGCTCCTCTCACCAGCGTGGGTCCTGGGCGGGTCCTCATGTCAACCAGTCCACCAGGGGGGGGCTGTTTTCCTGGGAAATTATTATAGTAGGGGACATCAGGTGCAGCAGGAGGTGGAGGAGCAGATTCATCATCCTCTTCCTCCCACGCAGAGCCATCAAACGGAGCCATTCTAAAACAAACAAAAAAAAAGACATTTATTTTAAAAACTACAAGCAGATACAGAAGCAAACCCTGGGCAGAAAATTACTAACCAAAGCTGTGGATTTTCATTTACCTGTCATGAGGTGTGACCACTTTGGGCGGGGTCATCAGGTACTGCTTGAAGCGCAGTTCGAAGGCCTGGCCGATGGTGCTGATGACTTCCTGGGCTAAACCCTCGGAGCACTCCAGGATGTGACAGGCTGCAGTCGAGGAGGCACAGAGAAAACAGCTTCAACACATGAATAACTCTAGAGCTTTAATAAACATGAAGATTATGGAAAAATTATGATCAAAAGATATATAAGTCCAAAATTAATTCAAATTTTCCACAGATTTAAAGGGTTACATGATGATTATGCAAACCAAATGATTAAATTATATTAGAATAATTAGCTTTAAATGCAGCTGTAAAGTGCCTGTGACATGCATATCTCACAAATACAAAAAGTCTTTTTATTCCAGGCAGCCCTTGAAAAGAAGATCTGAGATCTCAATGGGACTTGCCTGGTAAAATATCAGTAAAAAAAAAAGAAACAACAAGAAACTTGGCATAAAACACCTGATTGTAGCCATTTTGTCGCACAACTGACATATTTTCTTTTGAACTTGGCTCAGTCAGCCTAACAGGAAGTGATATCAAAGGAGAACCCTTAAAGAACCTGTGACGTTCAATTTTTGTAATAAACATGAAAGTATTTTTGGAGAGATAACATTGATAACATGTTGTAAAACAAATTTAACGTCACTGAGATGAACAGTTGTTGAGATATTTTCATGTGAAGAAACAGGAAGTGATGTCAGAGGGGAATGTCTGCGTGTAAACAGTGCGTTGTTACAACACAGACTGTAGAGAAGAATCTGATGTTTCTTTAGATTATTTTGTGTCACCATCAAATAGATGAAGAATTAAAGTTTAAATAATTTTATTTTAATAAACAACGACCAGAGAGTTTATTTTATTAATGAGTTCCCCTTTGATGTCACTTCCTGTTTCACTTTGGCTGAGCCAAGTTAAAAAGAAAATATGCCAGTTATGTGACAAAATGTGTAAAATCATGTGTATTATGACAATTTTCTTAAGTATAAAGATGTTTTCTTTGACCTTTTGTGTTTGAAGGATATAAACGTCACAGGTACAGTAAAGAAAGAAAACTCTGGTTTTTGAAACATTGAACTTTGACTCTTCTTCCTCTCTGATCGTGACTCAAGTTAATGTAAAAAAAACATCAGATTCTTCTCTACAGTCTGTTAACCAATGAAGCAACGCTCTGTTTACATGCATATATTCCCCTTTGACATCACTTCCTGTTACTTCACATGCAAATATTTCAACTGTTCATCTCAGCTGCATAAATTATTTTTTTGCAATATCTTTCTAAAAATCAGAGTTGTAAAGCAACTAAGTACAAATACTTTGTTACTGTACTTAAGTAGAATTTTTGTGTATCTGTACTTTGAGTAATTATTTTTCAGCCTACTTTTTACTTCTTACACTTATAAAAAAGTCAAGAAGTATAAAGTTGTTCCTTTTATTTCATTTCTGCTTGTTTTCATTGCAGCTTGTTGTTGTAAAAAATAAAAACTATCCATATAAACTGAGCCTCCTAGATAGAGTGAATTTAACTGTG